CAAAGGCAATTGTAAAGGATAAGAAAATGGTGTTGTCGACTGCAGCTTTGACAAGTAGACTAGCAACATGTAATGCTTTGCCTAGATAAAGGGAGATGTAAGACCCAGAGAATAACTTTACAAGACTCAGAGACAGATGGCTTAACCATAACTACAGTCAGGAATTATCTAAGGGAGAGGAGGTTCACGCTTGTGCCTGCAGCCTGTTGCTGCCATCATGTTGGATGTGCTGTTTTTGATAATAAAAAGCTCTTTGCCGTAGGTTATTTTGTCAAGTGAGATAGCACGACTTAACAGGTTTGTTTGGGAAAACAAAATTTGGTAGAAAAAGGGCATGCTTTCCCCCTGCAGATCTGTAGGCAGTATCATTCAAAACTGCAGTGAGCAGATTCTTTGCAGGATTTTAATAATTTTTCATTATGAAAAAAGAAGATAGAGGGCCATTAGGGTTGCTCTTTGAAACAACATGGATTGTTTTAAAAGTATCCAGATTTGTGGCCTATTAGAGGTCTACAAAGACCACTCACTCCTTCTCCAGATATTTATTGAATCCTACTGTGTGCTGGTCCATGGGATCCGGCAATGCAAAGACATTGGGGCCAAACTTCCCTGTTGATCTAGAGAATTAGATCAAGCAGTGGGCCTGCCTGGCCTTGCATTATGTTGGTACTCTCTCAACCCATTAAAAATATGGTTGCCAACAGAGGACCAAGATTTATGTTCACCTCTTCCCCATTCTCCTACACTGTTTTTTTTTTTTTCATTTTAATATCCTCTTATAAAAATGTGATGAAAAATATTGCTGGTCTTTGCTTCCTCTTGGAATTCCTCAGGCTCCCAGAATCCGCCGTTCCCTCTAAGATCTTGTGGTGTGTCCAGACCTGGGATTATAAGAGAAGGTGACTTTGGCCCCTTGGTGTTGGCTTGCCATGGGTGTCAGCATTTCACCAGCCTGCTGGAGGTGGCACTTCCATTTGCGAGATTTCATCCCAGGCCCTTTTTTTTTTCCAGCCAGTGTTGGAACATCTAAGGTACAAAGCTGGTGTTTTACTTCTGTCTTCCCAGATGATGGAGATGCCTTATGCTTACTGGAGATAAGGAGTGAAATCGTTACCAGAAGTGAAATTCAGATAATTGTCTTCCTACCTTGGGCCTCAGAGGTACAGCTTCAAACACCTTTTACTACATGCACCAAAGAGAAGTCGACTTAGGTGTTAAAATAATTCAGATTTGAAGAACTTTATACATTTTTGTGTGTCTGACTCAGGTATCAGGCAATCCTTAGGTAATGATAAGTGAAAGTTTTGGGATACATAGTTTGGCGGAATCTCAAGGAATAATTTTAGGTTATTTCAGCAGTGAAGTTCAGGAGTGCTCTGGAGTCAGTACTCGGGCAGTGGAATGATTGTACCTACAGCTTCTTTGGGTTCTGTTGGTGTGAAAGCCTTTGCCCTTGGGTTGCAGGTCAGACAGATCAGAAAAGCAGAGGGCTTCATAGCAAGGGATTTGAAAAGAGCATACGACTAACAGTCATTTTCTGACTACTGAGCTAGCGTTAGGCTCTTAGTATATATTTACTTCTTATTTCCTGTTTTACAGAAAAGAGAACTGAGCTTGAGATGGGGTAGTGGTGTAACTTTAGGTCCCACATCTTGTAACTGGTTAGATCTGTTGTGAGGACATGAGTGTCAAACTCCTGTGTTTGAGATTTCCTCTGTGCTTGTGCTGACTTTCCTTGAGAGCTGGTTTGTGTAAGTGGACTTGGCTCCATGAGAATTAGATCTTGGGGGTGATATGAATGAATGAACTTTACTAGGCCCTTCCACATGGTAATCTCAGGAAGGAAAGGAGGCTCTGATTTTTCCACACACAGTAACGGTATCTTGGAGACCAGAATTTCTGGTCATTTGACGTGAGTTTGGCTGAACCACAAGTTGCTTTTTGGATATTTTCTTTCTTTTTTTTTTTCTTTGCCTACTGGGTTCTAGGTGTTCCTTAGACATGTAGTGTTTTAGATAGTAATCTTCCATCAGATACATGGATGGCAAATATTTTCCCCCATTCTGCAGGTTGCCTTTTCATTTTGTGGAACATTTCTTTTCATGTTCAGAAGCTTTAACTTTGATGTTTTCTTTTCATGTGGAGAAGCTTTAACTTTGATGTAATCCCACTTGTCTCCTTTTGCTTTTGTTGCCTGTGTTTTCAGTGTCACGTAGTGATCTCCTTTGATTTATCCCTGGTACTGGTCATTTATGCCCGCTCTTTCTCTTTTGTTCTCTGTCTTACTGGTCCTTTATCAGTTTTATTAGTTTTTTTTTTAAAGAACTGACTTTTAACTTTTATTTCTCTGTATTTTATTCCTTTTGTTTTTATTTCCTTCCTTCTGTTTGTTTTAAGTTTAATGTATTTTTTTATCTTTGAATTTATTTTTCAATATATGTAGGTAAGGCTATGGATTGCTTTATAACCATAGCATTACTATGTTATGTGTATATATATAATATATATATTTAATATGTATATATAGATATGTTTTATATTTTATATATGTAAAATATATAAAAGGTGTGTGTATGTGTCTTGTTTGTGCTGCGAATTGAACCCCGGGCCTCTCATGTGCTAAGCAAGTGCCCTACCATTGAGACATATTCCTCAGCTCCTTCCATAACTTTTGATATGTAGAATTTTACAAATTATTTATTTTAAAGCATTTTCTAATTTTCAATTTAAACTTGAATCACAATTTCTTATTTAAGTATATATATATTTCTAGAAAGGAAAATTTTCTGTGATCTTGTTGATTTCAAACTTAATTCCATTCTGCTTTCCAAACATGCTTTCCAATTTTAATCCTTTGAAAGCTTTGAGATTTACTTTTAGCTCTGCACACAATTTTGATAAATATTTCTTAGATACTTGAATGAATATTTTGCTGTTGTATTTGGTGATTAGTATATTCAGTTATTTCCTGTTTTGTCAGTTATGTTGTTAAAATCTGCTGAATACTTTATATTTGTCTGCTTATTTTATCCCTTACCGAGAGGCCTATGTTAAAATTTCCCACTGTTTTTGTGAGCTTTCCTATTTCTCCTGCTAACTCTGTCAATTTTGACTTATGTATGTATGAGACTGTATTATTAGGTACATGTATGTAAATTTAGAATTGTCATATATTCTTGGTGGATTGAAATTTACCATTATGAAATGTTCAGCTTTTTCACTTGTAGTACTACTTTCTTTAAAGTCTCCTTTTTCAGAAATTAGTATAAATGAAACCAGACTTCTTTTGACTCATGTTACATGTTATATCTATCCCATTATTTTATTTTAAATTTTTTCTTTATGTTTAAAGATATAAAACATAACATATGTTCTTTTGCAAGGAGCATATTGTATGTGTGTGTTTTATAGAATCTGAATGTTTATCTTTTATTTGCAGTCCTCAGTCCTTATATTTAATCTTGTGGCTCAAAATGAGTCTTGAAATTGTTGCGTGATGTCTGTCATTAGTAGAAAGTGATCAACCATTCAATATGTTTATATCTTCAGCTGTTCTTCTTTTGGGGCTCAAATTATGTGTGTGTATGAGAGCATAAGACAGTGCGCTTCAACATGTCTCTAATATTTCTTTGTATCTTAATAATCTTTTTTCTTCTTTTTGTGCTTCATTTTGAATATTTTATTTTGACTCACTTTCTAGTTCCTTATATCTTCTCTTAACTGTGCCATGTCTTCTGTTAAACCTGTACTTTGTATTTTTAATTATGGTTGCTGAGTTAGCTTTCATGCTATCTATTTGATTATTTTTTAGGGTTTCCAATTCAGTGGCAGACTTTTTTTTATCTGATCTTTTCATTTTTTGAGTATATTAATTGTAGTGATTTTGATCTTCTTTTTGGTGATAATGTCACTGTATAGACCCCCTGTGCATTTCTTTCTAGTTTTCCTTCCTCTGGCTTTTGTTGGGGTCTTATCTTGAAGTATGTCTAGCTATTTATGTTTGTATGCCAGAGATTTTATAGGAGAATTTGAAATAATTGCAGTGATAATTTAAGACTTCAGAGAGTACTGTATAGTATTTTCTTTTCCTTTGGCAATCAGACAGGGACAGATCATTTTAATCAGAAATTGAAATGGCTTGAGGCTGTCCATACTAGACTAATTTTGGTTGTACTATGAGGGCAGTAACCCTTTAGGATCCTAACCAAAAGTTTGACATATTTACCAGGGCTAGAGAGCTGGTTGGCTCTGGGCTGACATTTGTGTTCTCTTCTCTTTGTAAGACTTCTACAGCTCGGCCTATCCTTAGGCTCTCAAGCACAACTTTTAGGATTAGAATAGGAACTGAGGAGCAAAATGTGCTAAGTGTTTTCCCAAAGAATTCTTAGTAGTAGTATCCTTCTCTGATGCTTTCAAACAGGAGTGTGTGTGTGTGTGTGTGTGTGTGTGTGTGTGTGTGTATACTGTCCAGCATTTGGATTGTTCTTAGTAAGAGGGTGTGTCCAGGAGACCTAGGCTACCATTACCGGAAGCGGAAGTGCTGGCAGCATGGCAGAACAGAGCGCAGGGTTCCCCCACCCCCCAGTCATTGTCAGTGGTTAAAGGACAGGCTGTCCCTTGAACTTTTCTATAGTGAGGCCTTCATCTTTTTTTTTTTTTTTTTTGGAACCAGGAATTGAACTCGGGACCTTGTGCTTGGGAGGCAGGCATTGGAAGAGGCCTTCATCTTTGCAGTTGCTCAGTGTCTAGGGAAAGTGTTGTCAAGCGCACTCTGTGGACCTTTGGCCAGGTGATTCTGTGTGGTGGGGCCCAAACTGGGCACTGCAAGGTGTTCTGTAGACTCCCTGGCCTTTACTCACCAGGAATGAGCAGCACCTCACTTACGGGTCTCCGAGTTTATACTTGTCTCCCGGGGCGCAGTGCCACCTCCAGTTGAGAACCAACGTGACTCAGCGTGTTGATGCTGTGTTCCCTAACGTTGACTTTCCTTTAAACCCTAGGGTTTGAAACTGCCAAGTCTTTTGCTCTGCACGGTGCTCACGTGATCCTGGCATGTAGGAATATGGCAAGAGCCAGCGAAGCAGTGTCACGTATTTTAGAAGAGTGGGTAAGCACTTGACTGTTTTGTTTTTTAATTGCCACATACGCACGCAGGGCTAAACACATGGAGGTTTTAGTGCAGTGCACAAAGTTTATTGCTCTTGGAATAATGTCTTTATTTTTAAAGGCATCTTCACATTGTTTACTTTATGAATGAAAGGATGAGCCAGCCTGTTATTATCCATGCATTTGTTTATAGTTCACTGTCAATGTCATCTGCTTTATTAGTCAGAGATTTGAGAATGTGTACTCATTTAGCTCATTTATTAAGAAAAATAAAACATGGTTAACGTCCATGAGTTCAACTGGGAGGTTGTTATACTTGCGGTTTTTAAGATTAGAGAGGAGGAGATTTTAACCCTGTCCCTGGTTTTTTGATTTTCTCTCTTGTGTGGATATTGGTGTTGATGTTTCTGTGCATAAACATTTACTGAGGCCTGGAAAGGTTCTTGGGACTAAGGATGCAGCAACAAACAAAACAAATCCCTGCCTCATGGGCTTCCCTTCTAGGTAGGAAAAGCAGACCGTGAAGGAATAATCACTTTTGATATTTAGCATAACATCAGGCTGTAATAAGTATAATAAAGGACAATAAAGTAGAGTAAGGAATAAGTAGTGACAGCCTGAGCTGTGTAGATGGAGTGGTCAGCAAGACCCTTCTAAAATTGTGACATTTGATTTAAAATCTGAATGAGACAAAGAGGTCAGCCATTCGGGTGCAGGGGGAAAAGCTTCCTTAGTGGTAGGAGCAGGATTTGCAAAGTCACAGCTGTAGGAACAACCCTGGAGAATTCAAGGATTGGGCTGGGCATTCAGCTCAGTGGCTCCTCTGCCTGCCTCTCAAGCTCAAGGTCCCAAATTGGATCCCTGGTACCAAAAGAAAAAGAATTCAAGGGTCATGGGGAAGCTAGGGCAGCTAGAGCCAAGTGGAAGGAGAGAGATGAAAGAGGAGAGGTGGTGGTGGAGGCAGTGGGGATGTCTCCTAGGGTCTCAGAGACAATGGGGAGAAAGGCAATGGAGGATTTGAGCTACGGGGAGAGACACAGGCTGCTTGCTGTGTTAGCGTGAAGTGGAGACTGCATTCCTGCATTCACTCATTCATATACTTATGAAGTGCAGCACTGTGATAGCTGGTTTGTGTCGTTTCCACTTCATATCATCGAGTTATCAATATATACAGAGCTTGTAACACCCTTACCCACCGTGCTGGTAATATGTTGGGTTTCCATGCTACCCCCTCTTCCTCACCCTTGGTATCTGTTGGTCTGGTTTCCTTCAGGCTCTTCCTTATCTCACAGCTCTGCACAGGGATTTTATCTGGCATAGCACTAAGTACCACCTTCTTGCATTTCTCAAGGTCGATTTGATCTGCTCCAGTTCTTCAAGCTGTGAGCCAGCTTGAAGTGTATTCAGACATTATCTGGGATGAATCATATCAGTATCAGGCGGGGAAGGTACTGCAACATACTGACACCTCATGGGAGAGTCTCAAAGTGATGCAGCATTTTTGTTATAGCAAAAGTTCATTCAGAAGTCTCTGGGTCTTTTGGCTCCACATTGGCTCTCGTATGCCCAGGCTCTGCAGGGATTTCCAGCTCCGGTTCTGGAGGTAGAGTCCATCTCTTCACCCACAGCATCCTCTTTCCTGCCTGTCTTCTTCTTTAGCTTCCACTGGACATTCTAGGACTGCCAGGTCCAGAATCCTCATATCCACCTCTTAGCCCCCGTTCACTAAATCCCTATCATGTCTTATGCTCTGGGAAAGGCCCTTCATGTCACTTGAGAGGATGTAAAAGCCCATACAGAAGAGCCAAGGACAGCACTGAGGGACATACCCAGAGCTGCAGGGCTGGTGAGCCTCAGAGCCAGGCTACCACCTTGCTCCATCTGACTTGGAATGCTAAGTCTGTCTACTCTACCCCTCAATCTGGCTTTTCTTCTACACTAAGCATCCTATAGGTTGTGACCTTTCAGGTTTTCTTTTCAGAATCTGTAGGTGCTAGCTGTGTGGTTAATTTCAAGATTAGTCATGTTTCTTACAGGAAGCTACTCGGACCCACCACACTCTCCTTTTGTGTTCAAGTGTCCTTTGTAGAGCTCTCAAGCCACTTTTAGGGAGATAAAGGTACTTCATAAAGCATCACTTAAGTGGAACTCATATTCCACCTGAGAGTGTATTAAGAACCTACCCCAAATTGTTACTACTAACAATTATTTCATGTGCAAATGCCCTTGTCCTGAGATGTTTTGGATGCCCCAAGGTTAGAAATGACAAAAGGTATGAAAACAAAGTCAGATCACATGGACAGTGTAGAAATAAACCACACCTTTAAAAAGCAAATCGGTTTAGCCTAAGTAGAAGGGAAGAGGAGGAAGCCCAAGAGCCTTCAGTCATATTTGGCTAAAGTATCTCTGGAATACTAGAGATATGTCAGATATGGGGTTTGTGCTTGTGTTGTTAGTCCACAACATTGTAGACGTGTTCCACCTTAGTCACCTATTATGCGGATCACAGGCTGGTGTCTTTGCCTTTAAGCCAAGTGCCAGTGGCTTGTGTCCGCTGGGCAGAAGTGGACTGGCATGGTAGGAGGAGGTGATGCCCCTGTTATCACTTGAGCCACATCTGACTCTCCGAAATGTATCTCAAGCTCTTTCTCCTGTCACATAGGCAGAACGACACAGGTATGTTTAGTTTCCTGAGATTTGGTCCCTGTGAAAGACTTTAAACCCAAGCTTTCCTGATTTCTCTTTGAATTTTGCCTAGACTTCAAGTCTTTTAGGTGCTGGTTAGGATGACCATCTGCCAGGAGAATGAAGCAGGGATCTGGCTCAGCTTGTCTAGTTTTCTTATGGCAATCGATCCAACATCCAAGAGGTTCGAGAAAGGCAACGTGGGATAGTCTTTAAGGTGTCTCATGGCGTACATTGGCCTTAGTCCAGAAACTGGGCCCTGTCAGTGGGTACGATACTGAACACACTAAGGACAGAGGTATACAAAATAGACCTTCCTCACCCTCTGCCCTCCATGTCTCCCATCCCCGTTGTGACAACCACAAATATCTCTAGGCTTTGTCAGGTATTTCCTGGGGGTCCGAATTGTTCCTAATTGATTGCTACTGTGAGAAAATATGTCATATTAGTAGAAGCTCATACATGTTATTACCTTGGGCAAGTTTTTAAAAACTTTTTTAAACTCCAATTTCTTCATCTGTAAAATACAAATGATGTCTATGGCAAGAGATGGGGTGGTAGTGCTGAATTAAATGGTAGCTGCTGTTATTAATAACAGTGATGATAGTAATTTCTTATTCATACATGAAGTGCAGAGCGATGTGTACTTGTCCTAACCTCGCCGAGTGACCGAAAGAGGAGCTGCAGGGAGGACGTTTGTCAAAGCATGACTCAAATGAGGTTGCAATGAATTCCTTTTCTGTCTTCATATGTCAGGACTCCTACATTTTAATAGATGTGTATTTAGTTGGTTGATTAGTATTTTCCAGTGTGTGTCTCATATTAGCAGTCAACTGTCATTTGAAAAGCCATCTTAATTATTTATGTGATTGCTTTTTCTTTTGTATTTACAAAGAACTACACTTTGCATATATTTAGGAAAGATGATTAAGGGATTAGTCATCAGGAACAGCAAGCAATGGTTTATATCAAAATGGTTATTGAGAAAGCCGAGAGATGAGGGATAAAAATAGAAGATTTATTAGTCGGAGGTAATGGAATATACATGTTTTAGGGAGTGAGCGCATGCTCGGATGATCACAGCCATACGGTGTGATGCTGCAGAATCATAACTGTTCCACCTTGTAGCAGTGTTGGTGCCAGCTCTGTTTATCTCTTTGGAGCGAGGCCGGAAATAGTGACTCCGACACCCTTTTCGATTAGGGGGCCCTCGGGACTGATTGTTGTATTAGGCACATGGGCTCCACTCTTTGCTGTGATTTTGTTGGATCCTGACAGCCTTCATTTTTGTGACATGATACTAAGGATAAATGAGGGTACAGAGTAACGAATTGCTTTCACTTTTAGGGACTTCTCCCAAAATCTAGTGACTTTTAGCCTCCTGCAAATCCACTCCACAACTTCATGCGCTCATATGGCTTTGGTGCTCATGCGAGTTTCTCTAGTGTCTGTGGAAACTAAAAGCTTAAATCCTGTGATTTGCTGCTGTACTTGGGAAGTCTTTGTTGCGACGCCTTCGTTGATGTGATGTGTGCCTGTGTTGAGAGCAGGCTTGCCGTGTGGGAGGTAGCTTAACATAGCCTTGTGCCTGTCTCAGTTACTGACTTGGCTTGGAAAAGCCGTCACTATTCAGTGCATCACAAGTTCTAGAGGTTGTCCCCATTGTTTTGAATGATCTTTAGCAAAACAAACATATAAAAACTATTAATATTATTAATGTTTGTAGATTACCGGGAAAGGTTCACTCTGAATCATCCTCTAGATGTTTTTCTCATTTCTCTGCTTTAAAAATTATTTTTATGTATAGTATTGGATTTTCAATAAGTAAAGTATGATATAAATGAGTTTTTGAGCCAGAGAAAACTATATATAAACCACTTGCTTAAATCAATAAGCACACACTTACAATAAAAGGTAAAAGTAAAGTTCTGAAATTTTTCCCTGGGACATTTTTGTTTCCAAATACCACTTTTTGTCACCTGCAGGTGGGGATGGATATTCGTACTTGTCTTTGTCCTAGGCATGTTGCTCAGCACTTTACAATGAAATATGTTTGCCACGTGTTGAATCCATTGTACAGATCGGGCTTTGGAGACTGGATTGGGGAAGAGACTCACCTCAACTCCCATGGCTAGGAGATAAGAGGAGGATCCAGGATTTGAAGCCATATTTCTTGATCCAAAGCTGTTACTCATCTCAAAACTCCTGGTGTATGTTGTGCCAGAAGACTGGCCTGGCTTTCTTCAGGATTTAGCCAAATACTGTATTCAGAGATTTGTACAGTTGTGCATGAGTGTTGCATAATATGAAATAATG